ACCCTCCAAGCTGCAGACATCTTGACCAAGGCGTTTGACAGCACCCCAGTGTGGCATCATGCACTTGAGCTGATCGGTATCTCCCCCAATCGCCAGGCGCGAGCCTGTGCCACCAGTTTGCTGCTCCCTCCATGCGCCAAGGCCGGAGAAGTTAGTGATCAGGGGGGGCAGATCGCTGCGTTATGCAACGTTCAGCCCAAGCGCCTCCTTATTGAATTCTGTTGTTCGACGACCTCACGGTTGGGCGAATCAAGAGACTCTTCAAAAGGTTGTCGTGTCATTCGGGTAACTGAAACCGAAGACGGGTGCTCCGATACGTGCAGGCAGTGGTTAGGCCGTGAAATCGCCGAATTCAGGAGCAAGAATCCTAAGGGTGCAATCATGTTCTATGTTTCGTTGCCATGCACTGGAGGTTGCCCGTGGGGTTATGTCAACCAGCAAACTCCCAAAGGTGCCGCCAAGATTGAGGGCCACATCAAGCAATTCCGATCACTGTTGAGAGGGTTCAAACGCATTCTCAATGATGTCTATTCTGATGACGTTAGAGTTGCCTTCGAACTCCCCAAGGCGTGTCGTTATTGGAAATGGCCCGAACTATGGAGTTTCTTGACTAAGTACAAGATGAACAAGTATGAATTCCATGGTTGCAAAATCGGCATTAAAGGGAGAAATGGAAAACCAATGAAAAAGCAATGGGTCGTTGCCAGTAATATGCCCACTATTTCCGTTGTTGAGTACTTCAAGTGTGATGGTTCTCACGAGCATGATGAAAGCCGTGGCACTCACTTGAAGGAAGCCGAGGGATACACGTACGTTTACACTGATGCCGTTCACAATGCATTTTCCGAACATGCCACCATGCAGCCGTTGCTTTCGAGTGATTGTGCTGCATCTTTTTCGCAATGAGCGGCGCAACGGCTATGGCGCATCCCGCGAGGGATTGCGATCCGGCATGGAGGAGGTGGATGGAGAATGTCGCTACCACATCGGTATGCACGAACGGCAAATACGACGCTAACCTCGCCGCCACGGTCAAGGGCCTCCTGGAGACGACCTCTGCACAGTCGCTTATCCATACATGGGTGCAGGACCAGCCGCACTTCCTGCAGTTGCTTACACCCCTGTTAACTATAAGCGAACCTTACTTGAAGGTTGTGCAGGCCCCACGTGTACCAGATCGCGACCTCCTTATCTATGTGACTGTCGCTGATTCAGGACTGTCCATGGTTTCGGGCAAGAAGAAAAAGCTTCGCAAGTATGACTTTGCGGAGCGTTTGGATGCTTCTCGCCCGGCGCGTGTCGGTGCATGGAGGTCAGAAATGCTTTGGGGCAAGGGCTTACAACAGCTGTGCAAGCGGTTGGCCGCCCTCATCGACGAGGTGCGTACCGACTACCCAGCAGCCACCATCATTCCGATGATTTACTGGAATGGCAACGAGCTCGTTGGGAAGGACGGCCTCGAGCCCACTGGTACATATCCATTTGATGCCCCCACCGGCGAGTTCGGTCAACTTCTTGCTGACTCCAAACGGCACCTGGCTTGGACCAGGGACTTCGCGGCCCGCAAGGGCTGCGCATGCCTTGGAGTCATGACCGGCGCGAAAAGCTATCTCTACGGCTTCTCTATGATTTGGGACCGTTTCATGACGGAAGTCCGGGATTACATCATCGGCGACCCCAATCATATGTTTGTGTACGTAGATGCTACACCCTTTGTTGAGACCATCGATTTGCTGGACAGGTATCATATGTGCTTCAGTGACGACAACATCACGAAGACCGTCCAGTTCATGCGCGGAACCCATCACATGTTGTATATGCTTTCTATCTTGCGCCCCGCAATGGGCAGCGTAGCCGAGCTGACACGTTCGCATGATTGCACCATGCGTCCGATCGATGTGCTCGAGGTGCGCCACCAAGAAGATTGCACAGTCAACGTTGAGGTTCTCGCGTACTGCAAGGAGACGCTAACGAAGTGCGGTGTTTCTTTGTCAGAGATGATCGGGCTCCCTTTCACCCGTGAAGAAGTGGAAGTCCGGCAGCCCCTCGATTTCGCCCCCGTCAACCCAGCCGAGTTTGCAACTACAGGTGAGCCTTCCGGTGCTGATGTTTCCGAAAGCGTTCGCCCGGCGCAAGCCGGTGCAAAGGCGGCTGCGGTGGCAAAAAGGGACGAGGAGGCGAGCAGGCCGGTACCACTCGACTCCTACGGGAGGAGCGTGACTGGGGGCCACTATGACTGCTGGGTGTATAGCACTCATGATGGCGTGAAGTATGTCGACTACGGTGAGGGCCCCAAGAGACTCGACATCATCAAGCAGCCCTCCTTTGATTACGACCCTTCCGTCAGGAGAATCAGTGACGAATACCATCGTTCCCTGACGTGCATCTCCAAGATCCTCCGTGGTCGTGGAACAGAAGGATGCGGGTATGTGATGGATGAGGACGGCTACATGGACCTCGAAGACCTGGGACTCGCGCTTCGCAAGGAGCTGCGACATCCCATTCCATGGAACATGCAGAATATCATGGACATCTTCAAGCTGGACAAGAAGCAGAGGTTCATCGGGCTTGGTTGCCCGGACGCAAGCCGGTGCGGAGACGTTCCATGTTCTCATTGGCTTTTCAAGCTGAAGGCCTCTCAAGGCCATGAGGACTGGCTCCAGATCGACGACTCCGGCATCGCGAAGGAGTGGTACGTGAACCCGGGGACCGACCTCGGGCGCTGGTCTGGCTGGAACGTTTGCAGCAGCCCTCCTACGGTGCTTTATCACCGCACTGATAAGCGTAACTTCGCTAACATCATGCGGAACGGACTGCTTCCAGGAGGAGGGGACCAGCACGAGACAGGCAGACCTCACGTTTTCTTCGCTGACGTCCCAAGCACGAACGAAAATTACATCTCAGGTGTACGTGCGAACAAACCCCTGGAGATACAGATCGACCTCAGGATGGCCATTCGCGCAGGGCTTTGCTTTTTCAAGACGGAGAGCGACGGCGTCCTTACGCGCGACAAGGTGCCCAACTACACGATTATTTCTGTATTGGACGCTACAAATGGCGATGTATGGTACACTCGCTCCGAGCAATCGGATGCAGGTGCACCAGCTGAGGCGACTGAGGATGAACCCCAGGGGATGAAGCGCGACCAAGCCGTGGTTGATGATCGCTCTACAGCGCTGGAACGTATTGCTACAACCCGCACAAATGTGGCTTCTCCTCGCGCCCCGCAAGGGGAAGCGAAGAGACAGAAGACTTTCAACCCAATGGAGAACGTTGAGCTGAATGTCGCCACGTGCCCGGTTTGCAACAACAGTGTCTTCGAGGGGCAGGTGCACTGCTCATCATGTGGGCAGTTGTCTCCCCTCAACCCACGCCTGTTGAAAGAGCAACAGAAGAATTACATTGTGCAGCGTTCCAATTTGCTGAAGAAGATGGGCCTCAGCACCCATGTCACAGCTCAGGTCCTGGCATCCGTGGGAACATTTGACCTCCGCGAGGAGGATCGTAGCAGCATCATTCGTGGCTTGAACTCCCCGGACAGTGCTGTTATTCAGGAGGCACGGAAGAAGCACAAGTCCGCCCTGAAGAACGGCTATCACTCTCTGCTTGATCGCTATGAACTCGACCTTCAATACAGGGTTCGTATGCTTGAGGTGGGCCGTCGGGAGGCGGACATGCTCCGCATGGAGTTGAGCGCAAATCTCGTCTTGGCTGCTCCAAAGCAGTCGCAAGCCCAGCGCGCTCTGGGAGTTGGCCTTGGATCAACTTCGGAGTCGCGAATCGCAAGGCTCGCGTATATCAAGACAGAGTTGGAGTTCTTGCCCAACGAACTTCAAGATGCGCTTTCCTCTCGCTGGATCATTATGTTCCAAGGGATGCCTTACAGCCCAAGAGCTTGTATCAACGTGGTCTTTGAGCAAGACAAGCCTCGCAGCATTGGTTGTTGGAATGGCATCATCCATCTGCGAAGCAACACGTTGGACAACCTCCGCAACGAGATGGACTGGATTTTCAGCCAGAATGAGCGGTATGCACGCAACTCGATCGAATTTTCGAGGAACGAGAGCAGCAAACACCTTGCTCGCAATGCCGCTCGCTATGCCGAGACAAGAGCTCCCGCCGCCCGCGAGGGTGAGCATTGGAGCCAAGGCAGCTGGCAGAATTGGTCCGGTTGGAGCGGATGGGATAACAGTAGCGGAAGCTATTCAACTTGGCAGTGGCGCTGAAAGCGCAACTGTCATGGTTTGCATGCAACAATGGTTCCCCTGACCTTCTCCCTCTGTGGTGTTACTGTTTGGCTGCTTTGTGAAAGGCCCCTTTAACACGCAGAGGGGGGTGAAGAATTTGATCGGTCAATATGGGGTTTTACATCCATTGCATCCGCAGTGTGGCTGTTCAAGCGTGAAAATGTGCGAGCAGCGCACTTGGACGGTTTGTTGTTTCCTTTTGCAAACCGGTAACCCTTGAATCTAAAGTTTGTTCAGCACACGTTGAGCAACTCGCCCTTTTGTGTGGAAGACTTCGACCCAGTGCCCACTCCCCTAAGGGGGGAATGCTTGTGTTTTTGTAGAGGCGGCTCCCTAAAAAATGACACACCCACTTGTGTTTACCCTCTTCAAAGGAGGACTATGAGCCATTGGGTTCTTGCGTCCTTTCGGGTGAAGAACCCTATCAGAGGGCAACATGCTTACTGCTTACTTGTTCGCTTTTCAATCATCGAAAAGTGTTTCTTGCCGCATTTCTTCATCATCTTCTAGGGCCACTCTGGTTTCATTGTGGTTTCCTTTTGCGCTTGGGTGAAAGGACACCCAAATGACAACCGACCATTTTGTCGGCCCCCATATTCTTAGTGGTTCCCAGTGTGTGTGAGTGCGTATCTTTTTAAGTTTTGTGGTTGGGTTTCCATGTAACCCACTTTGAGTTAGTCACTGTTAGGGGATTCGAAAACGGACAGCCCTATGTCAAGACCCGGGTCAAGCGATAAATGTGCTCGGCGTGAGGAGCTTGACTTTGAGAAGATCCTCTCAGGAGCGCTTTCGGGGCCTCCTGCCTTTTGTTCCTTTTCGACCTGGAATTTGCCAGAGGCCCAGTGCTCTCTAGGGGTAACTTCCACTTCCATTCTTTCCAGGGATCCGAATCTTTCTAGAAGACCACCCAAAACCCAGGGGGGATGGCTGGTTATTGAAGAGAACGATGGGTGAAAAGAATGGATAAGGAATCAACCCCTAGAAATGTTGTGTTTCTGTTTGTACCGTCTTTTTGGAGGGGCAGACCTCTTTGGCATCAAATTACCCTGTTCTCACACACTACGTCAGTTGAAGAAGCGGAGAGGATGAGCAACCAAGCGGTGACTTCCTGCGAGTTTGGAGGAGAGAGATTTTGAAACCAAGCTTCAATTGGACAGCTGTTTGACTTGCCGTCAAGATGCTGTTGATTGGACCCCCGTTAAACACAGCTGTTTGATTGGGGGTGTCCCATCTCAGAAGATTCTTCAGATTGTGTTTGTCTTGTTGGGCGGGAACACCAATCTTATTTGTCCGGGGTCAACATGTTTCATGACGCTTCTTCTTCTTAAGCGAGATATGGATTCCACACCAGCTCACTTGCACACCATTGGCTATGTCTCAAGAATGGATGTGTTGTTTTTTCAAGGTACGCTTTCACATTGGCGTTTAACATCACATCACACGGAGAACAGAAGACCTTTGTTTGCAGATACCCATTCTGGCTGAACAACGGCCATTGGAGTTTCCATCGCTCAAGTTCCCATTCTCAAAGGGGACATGTAACCATACAACCAAGAGTCGATTCCTTCCATGCGCTGAAGAATAGTTTGTACTTCCCCTGTTGGGTTTAAAGCGAGTCTGTCACTACTGGAAATAACTTTCATTTTTTCCAGGGGCCGTATCCGCAAATAGAGGAGTTCATGATAGGATCCACCCTCTCTCTGTGTCAGGAGGTCGTCATAACGTGGGCCAGATGTTGAAGCCCTTTGAAGTTGTCTCCGCAGCGACAGGGCAAGTCATGCTTACCCATGCTGGTAACCTCATTGGCAGTCGTGGGGGTTGTGGATTTTTCTTGGGTGCTTGCCATCTTCGCGGCAAACAGAAAGTTCACAGACTTTTTGGCTGCTTGCATTTGCTTAAGAATTTGTCGTTATTGTCCCTGTTGATGGGGGAATCTATCACTACTGGACATAGTCTTTCATTTTTTCCCAGGCGGCGTATCCGCAAATGGAGGGTTGCCAATCCACTTGGTCGGTGGATTGGCAATTGAGCCACAACCAAAACCCGGGTAGATGAAGGATAGTGAGGGACAATCCCAAGCATAAATAGCTGCGGCTGCCTTCTGGATTCATGACAACCATTTTAATACCGGGTTTCGATTATGACTCAATTGGGGTTTTGCAAAACGCGCGTCAGACATAGTTGAAGAAGAGATTTAAAAAAAGGAAGAAAAAAAAACGGGGGATGTATCTGCAAACAGAGGGTTGCCAATCCACTTGTTCGGTGGATTGGCCATTGGGGTTTTGCAAAACCCGCGTCAGGAGGCGAGAAGCAGAGGATCAACGTCTGCCGCTTGCTCCTGCGGAAACCGGCACTGGCGCTTTTGGACGAGGAGCGCTCGAACTGGAGATTTCTGGCGTCGGACCAGGATTGCGGTAACTATGGTGCTAGGTCCCCTACCCTTTTTTGGGGGGAGGGAAAGCCCCTAATCAAATAGACTACAGAAAAAAGTTGGTACCCAGATTAAACCTCTCTACTGGAGGACCTAGTGAGCATGTGCCGAAGTTTGGGGGGTCCCCTTCCCAAGACTTTGGCTTTCCTTTAAACCACCACAAAAGGGACTTAATAGCACCAGCACAGACACACATGTACATGCACCTGCACAAGGGGGCCACAAAAATGCAAGCATGAGTTCTTCATGATCATGAGGTGATTTGGTTTATCGTACCTGACAACCGCATTAGAATTGATCATTTAAGCTAGTAAGATGTGCTTTAACTCACCAGGAGTTTCTTCATGTTCGCTCAAATCAACGCTTTGCTGTGATTCACGCATATGGGAGTCCAAGCTTGACGACTCTTGTTCTTCGGCGTAGAGTTTGAAACCACTGTCCAGTTTCAGAAGGAGAGACCCGGAGAGATTCAAAGACTCACTCCCCGAGTTCATGGACTGTAAACTGTTTTGGGAAGACCATGTTGGTCGTAAAAAGTTTGGACTTGTTTGGCCAGTCCGCTCAGGAAGTGTGAAGAAACCAACTATAATATTAAAATACAGTCGTTCCTTCGCACTCCTGAAGTTTGTGGGGGAATCGTTGCAACATTAAAGTTGATGCGAGGTGAAGCATCGATTTGCTTAAAAGGGGGTTTAAGGGGGTGGAACAATTTGTTTCAATCATTTTCAATCCATGTTTTGTAGTGGGGTTGTCAAACATTTCACTTCATGTTGGGCCTTGGTGCCGCCTTGTGCCAACCTTTCACAAGGGATACCGAAAAGGACCCCTGCTTTTAACAACTCCTCAGTCGGCTTCGTTTTTTTAAAGAAGACAAGGAGGAAGTCTAGTCTTCAATTCCGCAAGCTCTGAGAAGCTGTTCCTGGTTGAAGCAGGGTTAGCCAACCCCTATTAGCCTATGTTTCAACAGACTGATTCAACAGCAACTACTTCACAACCCTCAATTGATCCGACTTGAAGACGAGAAGCTGCATGTTTACATGTGTCCCTTTAAGGGTATGGTTTTTTTGTATGGTGTCAAATGGAAAGCTAACAGGAAGCTCAGGAAATATGTGTTTTTGAATGTATGTATATATATATAAGGCTGTGGCTCAAAAAACCGGCACCAAAATGGATCTCTGGTAAGTGGAAACATGGACCAAATCCTGCGGTTTGCCCCTCCTGTTTGATTTTGGGCCATACCCACATATATTGTTAAAGTGGAACTAACTGTGTAAACACCTGATGACCTAAATGTGTCAAACCTGTGATGTGACAGCATGGCACTTGTTGTACTCAACGGGCGAGGGCTGTAGGCTCTATCTTGTAGATAGGCTCAAGGCCTTGATGTACAGAAGGCCAAGGTCATGTACAAGAGTGGATGTACATTAACACCCCCTCTTGGATTGATGTCGGCTTTTACAACAAGCCAAAAACAGTTTTGTTCTCATGGGCCGAAGTGATGTAAAAGTTGTTAGCAGCTCTACTGGCTGTTGCCCTTTGTACATCGATGCTTCTAATGTTTCGAACATCTACACAAACTGTACTCAAGTGGCCTGATGTCTGCAGGATGTATCTCCCAAAAGTCCGGTGTGCCCAAAAATGGCTGATGTAGATGATGTGAGCTATTGGTCGTCCATGATGCGCTGCTTGTTGAGAAGCCTGTATCCCTGTTGTTGGGACAGGATGGTTGTTCCATCTATGTCTCGAAGTTTCTCGCTGTAACCCACCTGTCCAGCAACCAGGGTTGTACCGCTTCCTGTGAGCTGTATCGCGTGCTCCACAATCTACTGAATCACTCTTGTCCTGAGTGGCTCAGCGATGGATTGTACTGCAGCATAGCTGTAGGTGAGGCCTGCATGTACCCTGTCCAGAGGGTCCAAATTGTTGAGCACTGTCTCAATGGGGGCGTGAGGTTGTAGTTCTGGTAGATATTTGTAATGTGGCCCTGCCTGATGATTGTACGAGAGGCCTTTGTCGATGGTCGACAAAATCCATGTGCAGGTGTGTTGCAACTGGAGAACCGCGCTGGTGTAGCCCCTGTTGAACAATGTCACTTGATTCTGGTACACCTTCTGAAACAACTCGTGCGTCTGGAGACTGACCTTGAAGACTTCAACTTGAAGATGTAGATATTTGTCATGTCCAATGTACTGTCGAGGCCTTCATGTATCATCCAGCTGTAGCCAATGCAATCCATGAGGCTGTAGAGCATCCCAATGAATCCCAATGCGGGAGACCTCATGTAGCCCGGGATCTTCTTTATCTCACCCGGCTGTGATGTAGCAGCGGTTGTAACAAACTTGTACTGCTCCATGGTGAGTGGAATCATCACCTCAGTGTAATCCTGAGGATTGGCCGTTCGCAGTTGTGGTCCTGTGCCATGTGCTAGTTGGTGTAGTGGAAATTGTGATGCAAACCATAGTGGGCATACATGTGTAGCCGCACCGCTGTCAATCATAAGACTGACCCATTTGTTGTCTTCTGGTGTTTGTTGTGTTGTGCCAATCATGGCGATGGTTACTTCATGTAATCCTGAGATAGGTACTGCTGATGGATCTGCTACCTGTGGTGGTTGTGGTAGCGCCAGTTGGTGCATCTGTGACTGATCTTGATGGTACCAGTTGTTGTCGTAGTGTGCCTGGTTGTACCAGTCATCTGTCTGGTCATTGGTGTCGAAAGTTCCTGTGTCACAGTTGTAGATCGCCACTCTGCATTGTTTGGCCATGTGTCCTGGTTGTCCACATCTGTAGCAAACATTTGTTGCTTGTTTTCCTTTTGCTCCTTTTCCTCCTTGTTGGTTGTTGTAGTATCCTTTGCCTTTTCCTTTTGTTGCTGTATCCTTTTCCTTTGCCATATCCATGCTGTCCTTTGAATGGATTTCCTTGTCGAACCGGTTGTTGATTGTACCTGCCTTCTCCTCCTTTGTAGTTGTTGTGGCTGTAGTTGTTCCCGTAGTTGCCGTAGCCTTTGCCTTTGTTGTACTTTCCTTTGCCCTTGTGCTTGCCCTTCTTTCCTTTTCCTTTGTTGTACCGTGTTGTTCCTATGTCCATCGGTGCCGGTCCTTGATTGTTGCTTCCTGATGTGATTGCTTGTAGCCTGGTGAATGATGCTGTTGCTCTGTAGTACTCGATCGCCATTGATCTGATCTGTGCATATGTTGTGATGTTTCCTGCTTGAAGTTGTAGATGTTGCTGTAGTGGTCCTTTTGTCTCGTTGAGCAGTATTACAATCTTGACTGCATCTGGTAGTAGTGTGTTGTTGTCTTGTTCGTACCTGGAGAATT